GTTTATATTTAATAGTACAAGTTTTCTTCTCCAAATGTCCTACAGCCCTACGAATCAAGTATTGCAGTTGACTGGGGTGCACATTTCCGTTTCGGACTACTGGATAATTCTGAATGCCAGACTGTTTCTTTATTAAAACAATGCAGGATGTTAATAAAAACAATCTGTTTATTTAATGCACATTCCGCTAGGGCTAATTTTACCATAGGTAAATCCATTCCTTCCGGAGCACGTCGAATTCATCGTGGACCGGCTTGCAGGCGAGTAACTTTAAATAACTGTGCTTAATTTAAAATCTATTTTGTGCGAATATGTCAGCGTGCACAATTGAATAAACGAAACCACTAAGTATGGTAAAGATTCGTATTGCACCCGAACATTCAGCGAATTCGAAATTGACTGGACATCTTGCATCTACTTCCGAACATGTTCGGTGGAACACTCATGCAGATTGTCGAATCCGTAATAATTTAACTTTGGACTGGCGTGTTCCAATGTTAATCACAACCCCAACGCATTTATTTCACGTTGAATGTAAAAAAGACTTCTGACTGAAAATTACCGATATTTACAATGACTGATTAATCATGCCTTCTTTGTCGGAAGAAATCAACTATGCCGTTTCTCCTAGGAGCGACTTCGGAGACCGAACCGACTTAATTTTCGGAATTGGAGCTTAAACTTAACGGTGTTATTTTACTGTGAGGAAAAGCATTCGATAACCAAAGCGAAAGTAGTGTTCTCTTGAGGTTTCAAGTTCATTTTCGAACAAGGACAGCAACAGATTGAAGTTGTGGGCGCACAGAGGGTGAAATATGCATAGTCTGCACACAGATATTCTTAATAATAACGTCCGCATTTCTGCAGATATTCACAATTCGCTTCATGATGTCTCGAGTAGATACGTACAAATTGTGACTGACGGCGATCTACCCGTGTTTTGAGTAATAACACAGCTATTTGTTTTTATAATCGATTGGCACTTCAGACATCGTTAACTGGCATTTTTGATCAAAATGTGGATTTTCAGGGGGAAACAAGTCTCCGTATGTCTGAAAGTCGGACCCAATGTTGACATTTCCAAAGTGCACTTTACACTCTTTCGATGTTTTTTTTTCACAAACAAAAATGGCAGGTCATGTTTATAAGTCCCAGGAATCACTGGCATCTGGTAATCAGAAGATCTCCACTATGTTTAATTCTTCTCTACCATCCTATGCGTTGGCGACAATTATTTGTCCCTAAAGCCATGCATTACTTCGGAAAATGAGCAACTCCCTTGTAAAAAATAACTGTTCCACAGGTTTCATCCCTCGCAAGGATAAAGACATCATTAACCGGTCACCTTATGTGTTGGGCACCGCACACTCATTCGACGTTTTCAGAAGAGATGACACAACCAGTTACTTTGCAAGTCGTTTATTTCTTAACATGCGGGCCAAAGAAGGGCCGCAAAACGCAGAAGTTTACATGTTGATGCCAGCAGCTCCACCGATAAATGCGAGCGACTCCAGGGGTTTCTTGGACGACCAGGTCCAAGATGTCAAGTCGTTGCTGACATCAACTGATTCATCTGGAGCTGTGAGGGCCTCCACCGTGTTTCGAGATCTGAACAAAAAGCCTGCAAAAATTGCACAATGATAGTAAAAATATATTTCTGTATATAAATTAATACAGAAACTAGAAGACGATTTACACAACACAGCCAGTAGAAATCTGTTTCACAAAATCTCCGAGTAGACAAATTAAGCAATATACCGAGCATCTACTGGAGAGGCTTTAACTATTCTGTCGCTTAATTCTAGTAAAGGAAGTCGGTACGCCATGCAAAGTCACATCTTCACATTGTTGCCATCATACGGATGTCTTTATCCTCCTCATAAAATGGAATGCGTAGAAAAGGTCATGGAATGGCATGTAAGGTAGAGAAAGAGAGAGAGATTAGGACTGTGGAGAAGGAATGCAGTTACATTGTTGCGTCAGTGTAGAACAAAGGAGGAACAGGAGGAGGCATCATTACCGAAAGCATATACGACGTCGGTGGAGGGGACAAGCGTGAATGACCAGCGGGTCTCCTTCATGCCGGCCAGCACTGTCCATTGGCCCTGGGGACACCTGGCGTCCGGTGGTGAGAACATCTCCACCACGTCCAGATCTTTCTCACCATCATATCCCCC